GGTCTCTAGACTTATTCTATCTCCATTAGACCTTCATATATACTAGAAATTGTGGTTGTAAAAACTATATAAACATTGTAGAACTTATAATGATTTCTCAATAAGAAGTGAAGGAGAAGAGAGGATTGAAGTTTGTCATGTAAGCGCTGTTAGTGGTGAAGTTAACTCTCTGTGATATATATGAACATACATGGAGCAGGGGAATTTCCTGTGCTACAAATCGAGGTGCGTAAGAAAAAAAATTAAGAAACAAAGAAAAACTTTAATACCCAGAAAAACTATCATAAGCTAAGTGTCCAATATTATTTTATGGATTGACAAAAAATATATAATTATAATATATTTTTATATAATTGGTTATTTTTATTTAAAAAATTATATGTAATATTGTTTATAAAAATTATAATATTAAAAATTATAACCAACTATATTATCTCTGTTTATGGACTTCATCAATTTTGTAGTCTTCAAAGGTTAACGACAAATCAAACCAGCTTTCCTCCGCAATCTTTTTTTCAAAATTTCCCTTGGCTGCTGTCAATGAGTCAATCTAAGTCCGTGATTGGTTTTAATTAATTTCAAAAAGTTCTATTATTATGCATTTAAGTTTTTTTTTTATAAAAAGTAAAAATTATGTAAAAACTATTAAAAATCACATATTGTCCTCACAAATAGTAATAAGGTCAAAACTAAAATAATAGGCTAAAACATATAAAATGCTTCTCATCAATATTTTTGATGTTTATTAAAATGAACTATATATATATTTTTTAAAATTTATCAACTCACATGCTTTTATATTGAAATAAATTATTTTACGTATTTTTAAATTAAAAGAAAGTAAATTTAAATTAAAATAAAGTAACTTAAATTTGATAGATAAGATCATCACACAACATAATTTTGTGAAACCCATTGCACAGGCATTAAGGGCTTCTTGGTTCAGTCACGTGAGCCCTATTCACATGTCATGTAAATTTTTTCTAATGAAAATTGATGACTTGAAAGCAATTTTCTTTATAATGTTATTAAATAATGTCTAGATCAATAGAAAAAATTTTCATATTACATAAATGGATCCTACATATATTAAACTATTATAAAATTATAATACTATAAGTTATAAACCAACCTTATTATCTCTGTTTATGGACTTCATCAATTTTGCGGCCTTCGTAGGTTAAGGACAAATCAAACCAGAGCTTTCCTCTCTAATCTTTTTGCAAAATTTGTTTTGGCTACTGTCAATGAGTCAATTTGAGTCCGTGATTGCTCAAGGGAAAAATCAAAGTTCAAACTTCAAAGATGATGGGTTGTGGACAGTTTGGGATTAATGTGTTGTTGACTTTCTTGGCAAGGATGCGTGGCCTAATAATGCATGCACCATGCATAGCTTTATACTCTGACCATGTTAATGTACTGTAGAGTAATGATTGTTTGTTTGGACTAGGTATTATGAGGAAATTTTAGTTAAAAACACCTTTAATTAAAAAACAGCCTGCTCTAATTTAACGGTATGAATCTGAGTTAGGGTGTTCACTTTCTGTAGATGTATGGTTTTGAGTTTCACATATTTCTTTTTTTTTTTTCCCATAGTTAACTAATATATCTATATCTAATTTCAACCTGTTTAAAAAAAAAATAAATGTTGTTATTTTTCGTTGAAAATGAATTAATTAGAAAATTAAGATCTTTAGATAAGGGAAAGAATTTAATATTAAATATTTTTAATTTAAAAATAATTATTTTATAATTTAATATAATTTAAATTATAATGTAATTTTTTTATTAATTAAATTTTACTCAATAACAATATGTAAAAACGTTCATGTCATTAATTAACTATTTAAATAGTTTAATAATAATATATTTTTATTGAAAATAAAAGTTTTAAGTTTGAATAATATAATATGTCAATAAGTTTGGTTAAAGATTGTGGGTTAAGGGTTGTACAACCCAAAATTTAATAACAAATAAAAATGCTATAGTTTTTTTTATATCAAAATAGAAAATATTATAATTGTAATATTAAATGATATTATAATTTATAAGTATGATAT